CTACGAGATCGCAAATAAATCATTAAATAAATATATTATATTGAAGACTGCAATCCTCCATTGACTTTAGTAGTTAAAGTATATTTTGTCTTCTAAGTGACTGCAATACTAGGAAGGAAATCATAAATTTTTTTTTTTAAAAAAAAATTACGGTTTACCCTTTTAGAATAATTTTAAGAATAGCGAACGACCTATTATGTATTGAGAATGTATGACAAACCAAACTTAATCGGTTTAATCAAAACTTTTTGCAACACGCGAGATCTTTAAATATAAAATATTGAATATCTTTGTTTGTACAACATGGGATTAAATTGCTAAAAAGATTATTTAAATATTAAATCTATTAAAATAATAATACCTAAAACACGATTAACCTTAAGCTTCAGAATCTGTTGCCGTCATATAAATATCCAGCAAGCGTACCAACTTGGTGAATTCATTTTTGATGTTCAAGTTAGAGATAGGATCCTTTAATGAATGAATTATTAATATCAATGTAAATCAAATATTCTCCACCCTACTCTACTCCTTTTAGTAATTTAATGACTTTGAAGTGATTGATAAGTTTAAAAAATGCAAGTATTTCTAAAATAAATTAATTAACCAGTTAAATTAACGTTAACGATTTCGTAAAAAAATTTCTCTGTTTTGATTGGTCGATTCAGGGATTAACGCCCATCCAATAGTTTTTTTTTTTTTTTTTTTTTAATGTTCTAGTGATGAGTTCTGTAGTTTGCATATTTATACGGATTTAAAAATATTTAAATAATTTAACTGATCACAATAATATGAACCTACTAACCATACAAGAATCGGGCGTGTTCGAAAACGATCCCTTCGACCAAAATGGACTAACTAGACATACAAGTCCAGTGATTAGACTTATAGCCCAAGGCCAGTCAAAAATAATTAGACTTATAAAGGTGGCCAACACTGGCTCCACTAGATCGTCAAAGTAAGAGCGTTGAGGAACTTTTAAGAATTATGATAGTTTTTAAAAAATTGCTAATTAAAATAATTTTTTCTTCACTTTTAATAATTATAGTATCCTATGGTTGACCAGTATGTGGAAACCTACAGAATTGGGCATCTGGAGGATGATCAGAATCTTCAAAGTAAATAGTGTTAAAGAATTTTAAGGCATTACGATAATTTTTTAAAATTACTAATTAAATAATTTTTTCTTCTCATTTAATAATAGAATAACTACT